AAACAAAATTAGATAAGGATCAATCACATAACTAGTTTGTGTAACTAATATGTAAACATTATCACATATTTTTCCAGGACCTTCACGTACTTATGGGCACATCAATGACCGGCATTACTAATATATACCTAACTCTAACCTTAACTCAGGCTGGGAGCCCTAATTCCTCCAGTTGTGATTGAATACATAAAATCTCATATCATCTGATTTTTGTTTACTTTTTTGGCCAATCAAAATTCTCATGTGATAAAATCGAGAGTGACAATTTGTGATCGTCACTGGGTTCACGATTCTACAAACTACTAGAGATGCGAACTGTGAATTACAATACGTATAAATAAACTATTAGTTTATTTTAAAACTAAAGTTAACTAGCATAGCAAACTTTTATTGTGATTGGCTGATTTTTGTAGATCATCTCATCATACTAAAGTATTATTAAAGAGACTGTCTAAAGCCAGGTGTGGTCACGGGGTACAGGGTTTGGTTAGGACACCTCGGAAGATCAGATAGATCGATTTTGTGTTACTCTATATAATTTCATTAATAGAGTTTTCTTAAAAATTTCAGTGAAGATATCTCAGCAAAAACTTAAAAAAAATTTTATAAACTTTTTTTTTATTTTAGTTCTACAATCTCGTAGAATTTAAAAAAAAGATTTTATCGAGTTTTCTTAGATGGTTGTCGAGATATCTTCATACAAAGTTTGAAAAGAATTAAACTGCCTATGAAGTTGAAGGAAAGATAAAACTTTGAACAAATACATCTCAGCAGCCACTTAATCAAATTCTATAAATGTTTTTTTATTTTAATTCTACAAACTTGTAGAATTAAAATAAAAAAAGATTCATCGAATTTGCTTAGATGGTTGCCGAGATACTTTATTCAAAGTTGGATAAAGAATTAAAACGCCTATAAAATAAAAGCAAAGTAAAGCTTTGAGCGAAGAAATCTCAGCAACCACTTAAGCAAATTCTATAAGCTTTTTTTAAAAATTTTTCAACGAATTTTCTTATAAAGTTGCTGAGATATCTTCAAACAAAGTTTGATAAAGAATCAAGCCGCCTATAAAGTAGAAGCAAAGATAAAACTTTGAACGAATATATCTCAACAGCCACTTAAGCAAATTCCATGAGCTTTTTTTATTTTAATTCTATAAACTTGTAAAAGTAAAATAAAAAAGATTCGTCGAATTTGCTTAGATGGTTGTCGAGATATCTTCATTCAAAGTTGGATAAAGAATTAAACCGCCTATAAAATAGAAGCAAAGATAAAACTTTGAACTAATATCTCAGCGACAACTTAACTTTCTTTTATTTAATTCTGCAAAAATCTCATCAAGTTTGCTTAGACGGCTGTTAAATTAACTAATTTATAACTAGGGATTGAAACTGCGAAAAATTATGCTCGCGATTAATCGTATCGTTTAACTTTAAGTTATATGAGTAAAAATCGTTTAATCGTTTATTAACCGTTTAACCGTTTATTAATCGTTTAACCGTTTATTAATCATTTAACCATTTATTAATCGTTTGACTATTTATTAATCGCTTGACTCATTTAACTGTTATTAATTGTTTGATCGTTTATTAGTCTTTAATCGTTTAACTATTTTTATAATCATCTAATAGGGTAACCGGTTATATGATAGTTTAATCATTTGATCGCAATAATATAATTGTTTATATAATCGCTTAACCCATATAAATATGAAGGGTAACTATTTGGTCTAAAAGTATCTGAAATTAGAACGACGAAAGACGATAGCAAAAAAAGGTAAGTAAATTATGAAGAAAAAAATAAGATAAATAAATAAATAAAATCAAGACTTATCTCATTTTTTTTTCTGTAAATTCGGAATTGGAGCAGTAAACAACCACCAGAATCAAAGGCAAGGTGAGTAAATTATAAAATAAATAAATAAATAATTTAGGAAAAAAAAAAAACTCATTTTTCAAATTTTTCTTTTATAGGTCTGAAATCAAGAACGACAAATGATGATTGTAAGAAGAGGTAAGTAAATTATGAAAATAAATAAATAAAATGAAGACTCACCTTATTTTTTTCTTTAGTAGGTCCAGAATCGAAACGATGAGTAATAACCAGAATTGCAAATTCTTTTTTTGTAGGACCGGAATTGGAACGACGAATGGTAATGGCAAAAATAGGTAGATTAATTACGAAT